CACCATCAGGCCCTTGACCTCACTCAGTCATCAATCTTTCCAGTCTCTCGGGCTCACAAATATCATGACAATTAGCCCAAACAATGATGATATGACATATCAAATTATAACAACAGAAACTGAGATAAGATATGCAAATGAATGATGTGACTGGGTACATAAATTGTATTTTATGTAAGTAAATCAACTGCAACATGACCTCTATGGGTCCCAACAGTACCAGCATATAGCCTAAGCATGATTTCTAACATGCATTACAACTTAATTTCTCTAACACATGGGGAATACATGGATAAAAACAAGTTTATATGAATACATAGTTCCATGGAATCGATCGAGTCTCAATTCCTATGGTGCATGCTCAAACGCCCGTCACCTAGCATGTTCATTACCTCAACACCAATCACATAACACATAATTCATAGATTCATACCCTCAAAACAAAGTTTAAAAGTGTTACATACCTCAAACCGTGCAAATCTATACTCCAACATGCCCTTGCCTTACGAATCGGCCTCCAAATGACTCGAATCTAGCAACAAACAACTCGATACAATTAACACAAGTGATTGGAATCGATTATATATGATAAAGGTAAGTTCTAAAGCAAAAGTCAAAAAGTCATTGGGCATATGTCTCATAATTCGACAAAATTAGCAAAATTCGAACACCCATTCAACCATGAGTCCAACCATACCAAATTACTCAATTTCGACCACAACTCGACCTTCAAATCCACAAATTAAAGCCTATGAAATTTCTACAATTTTTCCCAATCGTTCAAACCCAAAACACTAATTAAATGATAAAGATTATGATATATCCATGTATATTAACTAAATCCGAGTTAGAATCACTTACCCCAATCACATTCTTGAAAATCGCTCCAAGAATCGCATAAATCAACCTCCCAAAGTCAAATTACAAAATATAATTCTAACCCTCATTTTTTATATTTAAGAGTCTTCCCAGATTCCCTTCTTGGCGATCGCGGGAAATGCTTTTTGATCGCTAAGCACAAATCCTAAAGCTGCCAAAAATTAATCTCCGCAAACACGAATAATCCCATAGGAACGTAGCTCGCAGACTCCCAGATTTATGCGATTGCGAACCTCTTTACGCGATCATGAACCTCTTTACACGATCGCGAATAACAATTTGCGTAAACCCTAGTCTCCTCCTTTCCTTCTTTGCGAATGCTACCCCCTTCCTCTGTTCGCGATGCACTGAAAGACAAAGCTCCGGTATCATAGACCTCCTCTCGCAATCACATAGAATAAAATCCCCAGCTGCCCAAAATACTCTTCGTAATCGCGATCCTCCACTCGGGATTGCATATAAGGAAACCAGCACCAGCAAAACTGAATAGTCTTCAAGTTCCACCCGAATCACACTCGAGGGGCCCCCGGACCTCAACAAAACATACCATAGCATCCAAAAACATCATACAAACTCGCTCGAAGAGTCAAATCACACTAAACAATAGTAAAACCACGAATCGCGCATCGATTCAAGCCCAATGAACTTATGACCTTTTAATTTCTAAAACTAATGCTGAAACATATTAAACCAACTTTGATTAACGTCAAACACACACAAGTCATAAATAATACAACAGACCTATTCTAATTTCCGAAACCAAAATCCGAGCATGGTAACAACAAAGTCAATTCTCGGTCAAACTTCTTAACTCTCCAAACTTCTATTTTTTTCACTTTCGCCAATTTAAGCCAAAATCATTTACGGACGTCCAAATCACCATCCGGATATACTCCTAAGTTTAAAATTACCATACGGAGATATTGGAACCATCAAAACTCCATTCCGAAGCTATTTATACATAAGTCAATATCCGGTCAACTCTTTCAACTTAGGCTTCTAACCTTGAGACTAAGTATCCTAATTCATTTCAAAACATCCCTAGAATCGATCCAACCTCCCCGGCAAGTCACATAACCAAAATTGAGCATATAATAAGCAGTAAATGGGAAAACAAGTCTACAACACTCAAAACGATTGGCTGGGTCATTATAGAAAGTTAGACTTAGGTATTATTCCATTGTTACCTTATCGTGCACATCGTTTGTGCTTACTTTTTCCCAATATAGTGGTATCAGAGCTTATGGTTATATTGATTAATGATATTTCTATTTGAATGACCGAGGCAAACTGATCATAGGCTAAAAACCTGTGTTTTAGTCGTTGTAACAACACTTTAATTATTGCATTTTACAAAGGTTTGAGCTTAAATGATAATGAATTGTACTAAATTCATGTTTTATGCCTTGCAGGAAGCTAATCCGACTTAAGAATTAAATTTGGGATGAATTTGATTAATTTGGGGCTTTGAAGTCTGAGTAAAAGCTAAATAAATCAAGTTGGGATCGTGTTCGAGGGTCGGAAAGCAAGCCGGGATAGAAAAATAAATGAAAAAATGAAGCAGCGCAAAAAATTGCACTGCCGCACTGCGTGGGGCATCGTGTGCGTGCAAAATTCTGCGTTGCATTGTTTTGCTCCATTAAAATGTATTCTGCCTCTGTCCAATCCATGTACGCATCGCACGGGGCGTCGCACGGGGCGTCGCGGACGTGTAAAAATCGCAGAACTACTCTGTTTCGGTCTAAAAGTGTATAATTGTCAAAACCCCTTCCTACACGATTAAAAAGGGTAAATCATCCATTATTGATGACCAGTTTTGAGAGAGAAAAAGAGGAGGAGATCTATCTTAGAGGATCAAAATCAAGAGGAGACAACACTTTGGAGCAAGGATTAAAAAAGTTTTTCTAAACCTTCTTCTAATGTCTATTTATGTTATGTTTAAGACTTATATTATTGATGTTTGTATAATTATGAGTGGCTAAAAACCTAAATATTCTGGGGTTATGGGTGTTAGATGATTATGTTGTTTGAAGCTTAAATTGATGATCTTGAATTTATTGTTAAGGGTTGTTTATTTGATTCTGTTGTTAATTATTTTACTGCGTAGCTAACAGTAAAATATTATTTATGAATCTTGAGTTAAACTTGAAAAAGAAAATTCTTGATTGCATATAGAATCAAATAGAACAAGATCTGGACCCTGGGCATCGGGTGAAAGATTCGCGATTAAGATAGAACTATACTTAATTGTCTTGTTTGGTTGAAAAATAGGAATTGTAAATGCATTTGAGTTAATATTAATGCCGTAGAAATATAGGTATTAATTTAACTCGAATAGGTGCATAAGAATTCGATAGATTCTTATGGATATTATCAACCCTATAATCAATAACCCAGATAATTCAATAAATTATTTTTAAGCTAAAAGCATAGCATGATCTCTAGCAAGCCCATAACCCTGGAATATCTCTCTTATTAATTGTTAAAAGAAAATTTCATAAGTGGCGTAGTAACTTTGTTTTGTATTACTGTTTGTTCACTAGTTAAATTGTAAATTGGTTATTTATGTATTTTGTGATGAATTAGCTTGAATCGATAATTGTTTGAGTTTGCTTCAGTTGATAAGTTGATCATAAGTCCTCGTGGGAACGATACTTTACTTATTACTATATTACTTGAAGATCGCGTACACTTGCGTGAGTGTTTTAGTCGCAACAAGTTTTTGGCGCCGTTGTCGGGGACTTAGCAATTAGCTACTTGACTGAGTTAATCTTTTATCAGCTATTGGTTTAAGCATTAATTTTCAGTCCACTTTGTTTGTGTCACGCAGGCTCTTCTCTTGAATGCGGAGGAGTAGAAGTACAAGCAATCTCTTCCCTCTTGATCCTGAAATTGAAAGAACACTTCATAGAGCGAGGAAGGAGTTGGAAGCTAGATACAAAACAGAAAGAGAGTTGGACATTTTAGTTCAACCACAACCAAGAGTGATGGCAGGTAATGGAGGGCGTCCGCTGATAGAAGCTGCAAGGCCAAATCTTGCTAATATGAATCAGGCTATTGTGAAGCCTGATATCACTGGTCACTTTGAGCTTAAACAATACATGGTACAGATGATTCAGTCCACTGGGCAATATGTAGGTCTATTTCATGAAGACTCGCAGAGGCACATTCAGAATTTTTTGGAAATCACGGATACTTGCAACTATCCAAATGTTTCCAAGGACTATGTCAGACTGACCTTGTTTCCTTTTTCATTGTTCGGGGAAGCTAAAGAATGGTTGCAGAAGGAGCCTGCTAATTCAATCCATACTTGGGATGATTTATCAAAGAAATTCTTAATCAAGTTTTTCCCCACTAAAAAGACAAAGTCTTTGCGAAGCCAGATTCTTGGGTTTCAACAACGGGATGGTGAGACTCTTCGCCAAGCTTGGAAAAGATACAAGAAACTACTCCGAGACTGTCCACATCATTATCAAACTGATGAGGTATTGGGCCATACTTTTGTTGATGGATTAGATGAGACTTCAAAGATGAATCTTGATTCAGCTTGTGGAGGTAGTTGCATGGCGAGACCATATAGTGAAATACAACTTCTGCTAAACAACTTCACTGCTAATGATCATAATTGGCAAGGTGAGGGAGAACCAAGGAGAGCAATGAAATAGAAAGCAGCAGGGGTACTTGAACTTGATGACTTTTCCAGCATTAGAGCAGATATAGCAAAATTGGAAAATCAAATGAATAGAATGACAATGAACCAGACACAACAAATGCAACATGTTCAACAAATGTCGATTTGTTGTGAAATGTGTGGTGACAATCACACGAGTGACATGTGCCCCACGAATCCTGAATCTATATATTATGTGGGACAACAAAGTAGAGGTCCGATGAACCAACATGCACAATATGGGAACCCTTACAATGAAAATTGGAGGAATCATCCTAATTTCTCTTGGGGTGGAAATCAATCAAATCAGAATCAATATAGACCCCAAGAAAATTTTAATCAACCTCAAAGGCCACCCTAGCAGGTAGAAGAAAGTACAAATGATTTGTTGAAGAAATTGTTGCATGACAATCAACAACTCAGAACTGATTTTAGAAATCTGGAAAGGCAAATGGGATATCTAGCTACAAGTCAAAACACTAGGCCTGCAAGTGCTCTTCCAAGTGATACAGAGAAAAATCTGCAAGTCAGTGCAATTACCCTTAGAACTGGAAGGGAATTAGAAGAAGTTCCAAAGAAGAGAAAAGACAAGCCTATACCTGAGGGTGAATTGATTCCCAAAGCAACACAGGAAGCAAAGAAAGATGATATAATTTCAGCGCCTGTGAATGTTCCAAGGCCACCACCACCTTTTCCACAAAGATTGCAGAAAAAGAATAATGATCGCATGTTCAACAAATTTCTCTCTATGTTGAGTCAGATTCAATTGAATATTCTGTTGGTAGATGCGATTCGTGATATTCCAAAGTATGCCAAGTACATAAAAGATATTGTGGCCAACAAAAGGAGATTGACTGAATTTGAAACAGTTGCACTTACTGAGGAGTGCACTTCAAGGGTCCAAAATAAGCTTCCTCAAAAGCTTAAGGATCTTGGCAGTTTTACTATCCCTGTAAGAATTGGTAATGTTGATGTAGGCCATGTACTTTGTGATTTGGGAGCGAGCATAAATTTGATTCCATTGTCTTTGTACAAAAAATTGGGTTTGGGAGCTCCGAAATCCACCACTATGATGTTACAACTAGCAGACAGGTCCATTGCTTACCTGGAAGTGGTGATTGAAGATATGCTGCTGAAAATTGGGAAATTTATTTTCCCGGCTGATTTCATTATCTTGGATTTTGAAGCCGATGAAAAAATTTCCTATTGTATTGGGAAGACCTCTCTTGGCTACAGGTGATGCTATAATTAAAGTAAGAGAAGGAAAAATGTTCATGAGAGTTGACAATGAGGAAGCTGTTTTTAATGTATACAAAGCAATTCAACTTCCTCGCCATTATGAAGAATTATCTATGATATGTGTCATGGAGATGGATGAGCAAATTATTGCCCCAACTGTATATTTGAAGGATTCTTTAGAGAAAGCAATCGTGTTGTTCGAGATTTTGGAGATTAATGATGAGGTTGAAGAGATGCAGCATATTTTGAATGCATCTTGTGAATATATATGAAAGGTTTAAATCCCTTTGAACCTTTGAACAGACCAAATGGTCCTCCTCCGAAGCCATCAATTGAAGAAGCTCCAAAATTGGAACTAAAACCTTTACCTTCTCACCTTCATTATGCTTATTTGGGTAGTTATGATACGTTACCTGTTATTATTTCTTCTAACATGTCTGAATTGCAGGAGGGAAAATTGTTGAGAGTACTACGTGAGCATAAAAGAGCAATTGGGTGGACAATGTCTGGCATAAGAGGTATTAGTCCAGCTTTTTGCATGCATAAAATTCTCGTGGAGGAAGGACACAAGCCGAGCATAGAACAACAACGCTGCCTAAATCCCAACATGAAAGAGGTGGTAAGAAAAGAAGTGATTAAATGTCTTGATGCAGGTATTGTATTTCCAATCTCTGATAGCAAATGGGTACGTCCAGTCCAATGTGTTCCAAAGAAAGGAGGAATGACTGTAGTGACAAATGAAAATAATGATTTGATTCCCATTAGAACTGTTACTAGGTGGAGAATTTGCATAGATTATAGAAAATTGAATAATGCCACCCGGAAAGACCATTTTCCTCTCCCCTTTATTGACCAAATGCTTGATAGATTTGCTGGGCAAGAATACTACTATTTTTTGGATGGCTACTCGGGATATAATCAGATTGTTATAGCCCTAGAGGACCAAGAGAAACCACATTTACATGTCCTTATGGGACATTTGCATTTAAAAGAATGCCATTTGGTCTTTGCAATGCACCTGCGACTTTTCAAAGGTGTATGATGGCTATTTTTACTGATATGGTTGAAAAATTTGTGGAAGTATTTATGTATGATTTTTCTATATTTGGATGTTCTTTTGATGAATGTTTAATGAATCTTGACAAGGTACTTGCTAAGTGTGAAGAAACAAATTTGGTACTGAATTGGGAAAAATGTCATTTCATGGTAAGAGAAGGTATAGTCCTAGGACACAAAGTGTCCAAGAATGGATTGCAGGTAGATAAAGCAAATGTGGAAGCAATTGAAAAATTACCTCCACCGACATCAGTTAGAGGCATTCGTAGTTTCTTGGGCCATGCAGGTTTTTATCGTCGTTTCATTAAAGATTTTTCAAAAATTTCATCTATTTTGTGCAGGATTCTTGTGAAAGATACATCCTTCAAGTTTGATGATGCTTGTCTGAAAGCATTTGATGAGCTGAAAAGAAGATTAGTTTCTACACCAATTATCATTGCTCTAGATTGGAAACTTTCGTTTGAGTTGATGTGTGATGCAAGTGATATACCCATTGGAGATGTTTTGGGCAGAGGAAGGAGAAAATCTTTTACTCCATTCATTACGCGAGTAGAACTTTAATCCAGCACAAATAAATTACACTGTTACTGAAAAAGAGTTGCTTGCAGTAGTATGGGTATTTGATAAGTTCAGGTCCTATCTAGTGGAAACCAAAGTCATAGTTTACACAGATCATTCAGCTATCATGTATTTATTTGCAAAGAAAGATGTCAAACCAAGGTTAATTCGATGGGTTCTTCTTTTTCAGGAATTTGATTTAGAGATTCGAGATCGAAAAGGGACAGAAAATCAGGTTGCAGATCACTTGTCCAGGTTGGAAAATCGAGGCCATGTCACTGAAGGAGAATCAATCGAAGAAACATTTCCTGACGAACATTTACTAGCCATCACTTCGGATGAAACCCCATGGTATGCTGATTATGTGAATTTTATTGCAAGTGGGGTGACTCCATCAGAATTCAAAGCTGATCATAGAAGAAGATTTTAACATGACGTGAGATTCTACATATGGGACGAGCCTTTTCTATACAAGAAATGCGCAGATCAATTGGTAAGAAGATGTGTCCCTGAGGAGGAGATGAATGCAATATTGCATGACTGTCATGCTTCTCTTTATGGAGGTCACCATGGTGGAGATAGAACTGCACAAAAGGTTTTGAAATTAGGTTTTTACTGGCCAAAATTGTCTAAAGATGCACATGCTTTTGTTAAAAATTGTGACAGGTGTCAAAGAACAGGTACAATCGCGAAGAGGAACGAGATGCCTTTGCAAAATATTTTGGCAGTAGAGCTCTTTGATGTCTGGGGAATTGATTTCATGGGACCATTTCCATACTCTAATGGGAACAAATATATTTTGGTTGCAGTCGATTATGTGTCTAAGTGGGTTGAGGTCATTGCTCTTCCTACTAATGATGCAAAGGTAGTGGTAAGTTTTGTAAAGAAGTACATTTTCACACGCTTTGGAACTCCAAGGGTGTTAATAAGTGATGGAGGAACATACTTTTGTAACAAATTGTTGAAAAATGTTCTAGCAAAATATGGGGTAAGACACAAGGTTGCTACTGCATACCACTCTCAAACAAGTGGTCAAGTTGTGTCAAACAGAGAGGTAAAATAGATTTTGGAGAAAACAGTGAGTGCAAATAGAAAAGATTGGTCCAGTAAGTTAGAAGATGCATTGTGGGCTTACCGAACAACATACAAGACTCCAATAGGTACTTCTCCGTACAGTTTGGTTTATGGTAAGGCATGTCATTTTCCCGTTGAGCTAGAACACAAAGCTTATTGGGCAATCAAAAAGCTAAATATGGATATGGACTTAGCCGATGAAAAAAGACTGCTACAACTCAATGAACTTGTTGAGTTTCGGTTGCTTGCTTATGAAAATGCCAAGTTATATAAAGAGAAGACCAAGAGGTGACATGACAAGCGCATCCAACATCGTGAGTTTGTGTCGGGTCAAGAAGTTCTCCTGTTTAAATCAAGGCTAAAGCTTTTTCCTGGAAAGCTTAAGTCCCATTGGGCAGGCCCTTTCGTGTGGTAAGTGTGACTCCTCATGGAACAGTTGAATTGTGGGACATAAATTCAAGTGGTACATTCTTGGTGAATAGGCAACGAGTAACACTATTGGGGTGGTGATATTAAACGTCACAAGACCTCGATAGATTTGGTTGATGCGTGATGAAGTGTTGAGTCATGCCGCGATGTTAAATTAAGCGTTTATTGGGAGGTAACCCAATGACTATCATCACTAACTTTTAATTTTAGTTTAGAAATATTAGATTTTAGATGTATAATGTTTTTAGTCAGGTGCAAGCATGAATTCGGCCTAAAATTAGTGTACAATGATGTAGGGGTAAATTGTGAGCTAAAATCGAAAAATAGGCTATCTCTGTGAAAAATTGGCCTACCGCGTCGCATGGGCCGTTGTGCCACACACCGCGCCAGGCAAAATTGCACAGACGAGGCAGAATACAAAATTTTTGGAGCAGCTGGGATTTTTGGCCTACCACGCCGCGGGGTGCGCCGTAGGGGGCGCCGCGGTAGGCCATTTGTTTTAAAAAAATACCCTTAAATCCGAACCCCTTCCCCTTATTTCATTATTTCACTTCCCAAAGTCTCTTCTTCTTTAACACTAAACCCAAAAAAAACCCCAACCAAATAAGTTCACTTAAAGATCCATCCTCAAAAAATCCTTCTTCTTTTTGCAAGGTAAGTATTCTCTTCTCTCTTTTCTTTCAATATAGTAGTATTTTATTTTGTATTTCTTTCTTATTTTCAATTATATTTGTATAAACCCTAGCAAGAATTGTGTTCTCAATTTTCTTTTAGTTTCTTTTGTTAATATTGTTGAAAATATTATTAGAAACTTAGAATGTATATTCCTTTTGTGATTATGGACGATTTTAGGGTGTGTTGAGGTGAAATGAGTTGAGTTTCTTGTTGAAGATTGTTGAGGGGTATACTAATTCGAAAATACATGTAAGAAAATGAAAAATTATGTATTGAATATTATTGTGAAGATGTGGTGTTGTTATAGTTGTGATGTGAGGCATATTTGTGTTGTTGATATGGTGATTATGCCTCATTTCAAGTTGAAATTTTAAGAATACAAAACATGCTTACAATGTGTTTGTTAAAATGTCTAAGTGACATGAAATTAAGTAATGTTGCAAAATAAGAAATAAATTACATTGTGAGATGTTATTATTGGTAACAACTATAACATTAGGCTAAACCATGATTTTTCGCTTTCTTTATGTAAAAATGAGATGTAAGATTCATGCTAATGTGCCTATGTAGTATATTTTGTATAATAATTTTGAATTTTGTAAAATAGACTAATTTCAAGTCATGTTTATGTTCAATATTAATCTAAATTAATTTTGTTTAATATTTATGTTTATGTTTAATATTAATCTAGCTTGTAAAATCTAGCTTAGTTTTTTATTTTTATTTTATTTTTAATTGTTGTAATTCTCTCTAATGATTGGATAAGCCGATAAGCATTATATCATTTTAATTGAAGAACATGGTAGTCTGAATCCCTGTTATACATGCTAAGTGTCAACATGATAATAACATAAGTGTGGGGTATTTACTCCACTTGATCTTAAAATGATTTTGTGTCTTTTTAGCTAATATATCATGTTGTGTAGGTATAATGTCTCGACGCCCAAGCAAAATATCAAGCGCTGGCCTATCTGAGGCTGCATCTACTAGCCGACGTGGAGGTAGAAGGGCACCACCTCTGACACCAGTTGAGGAGGAATAGGAACACTTTGACCCTGATGCAGATGAGGTGCCAGAGTGCAAATATGGCATCGGGGCTATTCCATCCCATACAATACAATGGTTCCAGTCCTTTGTTCCTGCTGTACTACCAACTCCTGAAGTTTCCATAGATGAAACAAAGCTCGCTCATAAGTACAATGCAATATA